GCCCCCGCCCGCCCGCGTGCGTGCACTACAGAGCAGAGGGGAGGCCGGTCCCCGAAGTCCGGGCTTCAGGACCTAGGCGGGTAGGGCAGGCTGAGGGCGGCCGAAGGCGCACGGATCCCGGCTCCCGAGAAGCCTGGGTTCGGCAATGTCTTTGCTGTGTGGCCTTGGGCAAGTCACTCTCCGTCTCTGGGCTCCATTTCCACCCCATTCCGAAAACAGGATTTCGTTCCCAGCTGCCGGGGCATTCCTGAGGTCTCAATTACCCCTTTTGCTCACCCAAACCCCGGGGGCTTTTGTTCCGGCGCCAGCATGCGTCTGAATAACAAAAGGCGCCCGTCTAGGGGGCGAGTGAGCTAGGACTCCCCACTGCCAAGATTCCCCCGCGCGCCCGACTCGGCGCGCCCCGCTGGGCGGGCCCGAGCCGCGGCCGCACTGAAAATGGCTCATCTGCTCTCCGCTTTCTCTGTTTCGCAGGAGCGGCGGCATGGAGGCTCTCACCACTCAGCTGGGGCCGGGGCGCGAGGGCAACTCCTCGCCTAACTCAAAGCAGGAGCTGCAGCCCTACTCGGGCTCCAGCGCTCTCAAACCCAACCAGGTGGGCGAGACGTCGCTGTACGGGGTGCCTATCGTGTCCCTGGTCATCGACGGCCAGGAGCGCCTGTGCCTGGCGCAGATCTCCAACACCCTCCTCAAGAACTACAGCTACAATGAGATTCACAACCGCCGAGTGGCCCTGGGCATCACGTGCGTTCAGTGCACGCCCGTGCAGCTGGAGATCCTGCGCCGGGCCGGGGCCATGCCCATCTCGTCGCGCCGCTGCGGCATGATCACGAAGCGCGAGGCCGAGCGCCTGTGCAAGTCGTTCCTGGGCGAGCACAAGCCGCCCAAGCTGCCCGAGAACTTCGCCTTCGATGTGGTGCACGAGTGCGCGTGGGGCTCGCGGGGCAGCTTCATCCCCGCGCGATACAACAGCTCTCGTGCCAAGTGCATCAAGTGCGGCTACTGCAGCATGTACTTCTCGCCCAACAAGTTCATTTTCCATTCGCACCGCACTCCCGACGCCAAGTACACCCAGCCCGACGCCGCCAACTTCAACTCGTGGCGCCGGCACCTTAAACTCAGCGACAAGTCGGCCACAGACGAACTGAGCCACGCTTGGGAGGACGTCAAGGCCATGTTCAACGGCGGCACCCGCAAGCGGACCTTCTCGCTGCAAGGAGGCGGTGGCGGTGGCGCTAATGGAGGGTCCGGTGGGCAGGGGAAAGGTGGCCCTGGCGGCGGCGGCGGGGGAGGCCCAGGGTGCGGCGCGGAGATGGCCCCAGGCCCGCCGCCCCACAAAAGCCTGCGCTGTGGCGAAGATGAGGCCGCCGGGCCTCCTGGGCCGCCTCCCCCCCACCCTCAGCGAGGACT